CCTTTGAGTGGTAGGTAGCCTCTTTCCATGAGCTCCCGGAGCCTCATGTGGCACATGAGCGCCGCTGCGCTGCTGGTCCAGAGCACCATGCTGGGGACGCCGAGCCCCCGGGCCACCTCCAGGGCGAAGCTCATGAGCGCCGTGGGCAGCACACACGTGACGGGCGGCACGTCGGGCGCTGCGCCGCCACGGACCCGCGCGACGAGCTCCCTCAGCGGCGCCGTGCACCGGCCGTGGGTGGTGGCCTTGGACAGGCCGAGGTCGTAGTCCTGCTGGTCCCGGTCGGCGTCCACCAGCCCGTCCGGGATGGTCTCGATCCTGAACCCCTCGCGGCCACTCACGGCGCCCGCGGTGGCTGCGGCCTGCTGGGCGCGCCGGAGGTTGTGCTCGGTGGCGACGAAGGTGACGAAGACACCGTGGTGGCGCAGAGCCTGGGCCAGCTGCAGCGCGGGGTTGATGTTGCCGGAGCCCGGGAAGGGCACCACCACGACGTGCGGCTGCGGCATCGCCGTTCGTGTTGCTGCTATAGCTTGCACGCTTTTGGTGACTGGCAACTTGGCTTGGCTTCGATCAGTGCTTTGCCCTGCCACCGTAGTTAGTCGCTTTTATTAACCATAATCAATTGAAATGGACGGCAAGGTCCCAGCCTGAAAGTCAAGGGACGGCGATACTTGAAAAAACAAACAGTTTCCACTAACATCGGGTCATTTTTTGCCGGCCGCAGCACGCACAAAATTAACAAATGTAGTCTTCTATTGACTTTCGACTTTAGCAAATGAAGTTTTCTTTTTCACTTCCCACTTTCTACATGAGCACCTTCCCCCTCTCAGCATCATCAATAACAAAATAGATTCCTATAAAAAAATAGATTGACAAATGACAAATACATAAATGCAAGGAAACCACCCAGAGCTACTTGGGAAATGGTACGTATCACAAGAGAGGAAGGAGGGCTTGGTGTCATAAACCTCAAAAGGCACGATGAAGCTCTAATGCTAAAGAGCCTGCACAAATCCTTCAACAAAGTTGAATATTTCTTGGACAAATCTCATCATGCCAGAACATGCAACTACTCTCGGATCGGAAAACCCCATTACTGTCAGATTTGGATCTGGCAGGGCAATCGGCAGTGATAAGTGGTAAAAAATCAGAACTCATCCTCCCTGTTGTGTAAAATCTTCTCGGCCACACCAATTGTCAATTGAGCTACATGACAAATGTGACTAATTTTAAATGAAAAAATTGTAGATCTCATCGAGTACTACAACTTTGATGTTGACTTTATTTGTCTCCATTCGATATTGTTAATCATCTCAAATGTGATCCAATAACTTATATTAGATACTTAGACTTGTAAACTATCTCAAATTAAAAGTTATCAACTACAAAGTTTTATAAACTCTACAGTTTTGATATAAAGTTTATCTTGATCTGGTCTCATATAAAAAGTTATACTTTTTTTTGTAAATCAACATATCACTGGTGGTTAAGCCACAATCCGACAGTGGTAGGTGGACCTATCACTTCTTTTTTTAGAATTACACGGTACAACATAGACACAACACGCACTCACACTCACCCTTATGAACACACATACGCAAACCCTACCCTATGAGCACTTTCAAAGCATTGAGCCGGCGGATCCTGAGATTTACGAAGTCACCACAGGCGTTTCGCTATCGACGGGGACGTCGCCTACCACTGAAAGCATAACACTGTTAAATCTTGAAATAAATCTAGGAAAATACGAGCACCCATGCCAAGTCGAGGACTTGAACCCGAGTGGACAGATTCCACTACAAGAAACCTAACCAACTGATCTATGATCTGATTTGTGACATGAACCAGTAGTGATAGTGTACAACCTTTGAAGCCACAAATTGACAGTGATAGTCTATCATGGTTTTAATGTGAAATCAGATTTAAAAAGACTTCAAAACAAGCTCGAAATTCCTTAATCTGTGGTCAGCTATAGAATAACATTGATTTATTTTTTCTCGAACACACAGGAGAGCTACGTATCTTTATATTATAGGAAAAGAGAGTAGTCCATACAAGAACCCCTCTTACTAGGACCAAGGTAAGAGGGGGTAAAACAAAACAAACCAGAAAAAAAAACTTTTCTAAGTTACAAATAATCGACCCGACTATGCAAATGCACTGGACCTATAACTCAGACCCCAGAGATGACCCTCCAGCTGCAAGTTTCTCATAGAGGTTGAGACAGTTGCCGAATCTCCATCAAACACACAGGCGTTTCGATGCTTCCACATGGTCCAAGCCCCTAAAATGGTGAGAGAGTTTACTCCTTTCCTGTGTTGTTTACCAACTCTTTTAGTTATTTTCCTCCACCAAGTGGCAAAGCTGTGTTCCCTTCTATTAGGTACCGGTTGCTGCAAATTAAGTGGAGAGAGCACATTATGCCAAAATTGTCTTGCAAACACACATGTTGTAAGAATATGCTAGATAGTTGCTTCTTCTTGGTCACAGAGTATACATTTATCTGGATGAGGAAGCCCCCTCTTTGTTAGCTGATCAGCTGTCCAACATTTATTTTTTATGGCAAGCCAGAGGAACATCTTATATTTTGTTGGTGCCCAAGATTTCCAGAGACGGCGCCATGGTTCAAACTGAATAGATCCATAAAAGAATACCTTGTATGCCGTCTTAGACAGGGGCGGAGCCAAGGCCCGGCCACCCTGGGCCGCTGCTCGGGCTCCCCTGCTAACCTGCCACTAATACTTGAGGGCACGAGTCTTTGACGGATGACGGTAGCCTTTGATCTGCTGTGCCTGCGTATAGGTGCCCTGCATCTCTGCCCCTACCTCAAATTATCGCATCTCATTTGCTACAGTAGCTGGCAGGTGAGCAGCATGTGGCAGGGCGCAGGAGCAATGCTGGCCACGGTGCTGAATATTAGCCTGATTTGATTATTCTATATATCTCTATGTTTGATTTTAGCTTATCATGTTATTATGCAATCGACATGTTCAGGGAAAAACTTTTCCATTCAACACTAGCTCATGCTCTTCTTTTATCGTTATGTATTCGTGTCCGTGTATTGACGGTTTCAATTAATTTTGTTGTTGTGTTCGATCATCAACAGTGTTTCATGTGGATCTATAGTGCTAGAAATCTTTTTTTTTTCTTGGTTACCTGTTACAGATCAGTTTTTATTTGCTCGTAGTTACCTAAATTAACACATACTCTACCTTCACGCTAAAAAAATTAGGACGCAATCTTTATTTGATTTTGCATGCCAAAAAATCGTAGCTTGATCTAAAAATTTATGTGTGTGGCTTGTCACTGTTAAGCATATGGCATATTGTCCTGCCGTGGCTCTTTAAAACTCCTCGCTCCGCCATTGGTCTTGGATGAGAAAGAACCTGATATGTGATGCTTCCAAATATGCTGATCATCATCACTTGTGAAGGTAAAATTCATAAGAGCATCCCAAAGTTTGAGGAACTCTATCGGACCATTAAGAGAATGACCCCCACGTATGCCCTGTACCCACACCCGGTTGTCCAATGCCTCCTCAACCGTGTGAGTTTTTAGGATCCTTGATGGCACACAAGCAACAACCTCCGAGGCCATGTCTACTAAGGAGTAGCCATGTAACCAACGGTCTGTCCAAAATAAGGTATTTCTTCCATTGCCCACATTTGTTATCACTGAGATTGCAAACATTCCTCGGGCATTTGGATGGGAAGGGATTTCCAGACCTGACCATGCTCTATTTGCTGAAGTTTTTTTTGCCACCACAACCACTTCATTTGTAGAGCCCAACCCATAATTTCCAAGTTTTGGATACCCAAGCCACCGAGTTCCAAAGGCATTTGCACTTTCTCCCATCCCACAAAACAGCAGCCCCCATTGGCCTTTTTGCGACCTCGCCAAAGAAAACCTCGTCTTATTAACATTGATTTAGGATCTGTACTAATTTATGATAAAGTGAAAATACACATTTACGATACATGTGTTACAGTAATCTCATAAATTAGTATAGTAATTATTGAAATTTAAAGTGGCCATAGAACAGTAAGTCTCTGTCCGTATAGAGAGAGACAAGTTGGGCTGCTACGTACCTGCTGGGCCACATAGGCGCTAGGAGGTTGTTAGGCTGCTGTGCTGCGCTTGCATTTGCACTATTTATTGTTTTGGTCGATCCATCAGGTCAGCCTGTGTTTTCTCAAAAAAAAAAAAAAATCAGGTCAGCCCGTGGGCTAAACTTCAGGCCCACGTCTGACTTGAAATTCATGCCAGGTCAAAAAAGTATAGCCCGAGCCTGCCCGATGTGCTAATTGGGTCCGGCAAGGTCATGTCTTTTTTTTTGAGTGGGTTAGACCGAGGTCCAGGTGCACAGTAGCTGCTTGACGTAATGACTCGGTACGGACAAACATGTGTCCACTGAGAAGCTTGGCCTTGCTTGTCCTCATTTTATCTCGTGGAACTGATGATTAGTGATTCATCAGCCTGTATAAAATTTGCTCCTCACACTTGAAAAACTATAATTAACAAAGTCCATTTTTTCTATGGAAGGTTCAGTTGTGATGGTGGGCATTATTCCACCTTGGTAACAACTCAATGGACCATATTTTTAATTAATTAGTTATACCACCACTGATGCACTATTCAGTATTATTATATCCAAGTCATAGTTGAAACCAGAGCAATGTATTGAGAAAAGTTGTTCACTATTACATAATACATGCAAAATACAATGCCATTTTCGAGAAACATGCATATTTCTATTTCCCTGCAGAACTTGAGAACAACCACTAGGACCACTGTCGTTCTGCACATGATGATGAACACATTATACTTAATTTAGCTTAATGATACCTATTGAGTTCGTCAAGCATCCCATGTAGCTGCTGACCATATTTTGGGTATATCACGACGTCCTCAAACAAGACTCTGGTTATATTGTTTTAAAAGCACACAATATATAGCTCATATATTATTACTTATACGGTTGTACCACCACTTGACAAGCTTCATTTGGGTATTGGCTTCACGAATAGTAGTTCTATCATTTCTTTGAGTGCTTCTGAAGAAGTGTATCCATCATGATCATTCTTGTACATATTATCTACGGTTCTTGCGAAGTCAAACACTGTTCGTGGCATGACCTTTGGTAGTTCTGTCAGTGCAAGGCATTGTTCTAACATGTCCTTCCATTTATCTTCAGCAAGTTCTTTTATCTTTTCGCATGCATCATTCATTGTTGTTCCATGCTCCTTCATGTAGCAATGGACAGTGGAGGCACTGTGGTCTTTTGTTTGTTCACGCTGTGAAACATTGTCCTAAGAAAGAATAATGTCAGGTGTGTTATAATAACAACTAGTTTAATCATCCTAACGTTGTGATTCTGTACTGACATAAAAGCAATATCCAGCTTCACTGTAAATGTAAAATTATCGTGAATGTTATGAATAGAATCTAACCAATTCGTTAGATAAATGGATACTGAGAAGAATTCAATTTACTGTTTTTGCATGAAGCTATACTCGTTTAGAAATAGAGAAATACCATGGTTGATGCGACATCATTTGAGAGGCGTACATATATACCAAAAGACATTACAAATTGAGGAAAGCTCAAAAGCCACTCGAGTGTCTCCTTTGTTATTATGTCACCCATTCCAACAAATGCGGCACATGTAATAGGGATGCATGCAATGCTTTCCATTGAAACTTGAAGGTGTTCACTCATTGTTTTTGGCACATAGTCTTCATCACGCCATTTTATTTCATTGTAGTACTGCTGAACCAAACGCTCCATCTATATGAAATATGGAAATGTGTGAAAATTATTTCTGATTCTAATACCATTGCTGCTAGATAAAATAGGCTGCTTGAAATAAAAATAACTGAATTGAAATAATGATAGGTTGCATTGCATAAGTTCCATTGTTCAGGTAAAAACTTTATTGATTTTTATGTTTATGGGCAATACAGTTCCCAAGAAAATTTTTACTAGAAAATAAAGGCATTTCGTACATAGTCAACACCACATGTATCCATCTAGTCCCTGAATTAATTTATGACCAATCAAAACATCATGCATAACTAAAGAACTCGATTTTTAATATTAGGCAAACAAATTTATCTACGGATTTTGCTTCAATTATGACTGCAATGACCAAGTCTGTTTGCCGGCCGGCTCATGCATGCGCTGCTTTTAATGGTCATATAGGAACTAGAAGAGCGTATAGCAGGGTTAGTTCTTTATAATTCTTAGATAATGATAGTCATCAAACCTAGGCTCGAAGTTCATTATTTATTATTAAATTTCTTTGTACAATAGGGTTTTTTTTCATGTCAGTAACATAACTCAATTTGATAGAGCCTAGTATTTCTAGCTGATTGCGTTGACTGTGTTCCTTGGCAATGCAAGTAGAGGGTATGTAGAATACTCACCGCCAGTTTTAGATAAAGCACACGGTAACTCTTCTCTGCCCCTAACTCATCCTCAAATGAATGAAATGTGTCCAACAGAAATAAGTAGAAACCCTTCATATACTCTGGAAGAAGAGGTACTGCACTTACATCCCATCTGCATTTTACAAAGTTAGGATTTGGTTTCCTATAGTATTAAAGCTCTCTAGAGAGAAGCGTTTCAAAAAGCACTGAATGTATTTTTCGAAATTTATTTTTAGGATCATTACATTGCATACTAATGGTATCATTATTTCAATTCAAATATTATTATATTACTGATAAATTATTTGTGGTTTTCCTTTGAACGGGTATTACTATTTGAAAAAATAGTGAATTTTTATATTGTTGCTTGTATATGTTTGGTGTACACATTATTGTTTGAATTTCGTTGCTTATCAGTAATGAAACTCAGTACATCAGCACCAAAAGAGCTTCATGTCGTGGACATATCTCCACGTAATATCATCCCTTTATGACAGACTCACAGGGAAAATTTTAGTTTCTTTCTTTTCGTATATGTGTATGTAAATCAATGACATGCCATCCAATATGTATTTAATAGTTAATGCATGTACTATTTTTAAAATAAAAAACATGTGACATGATTTTGGAAGATCATTGTTACCTGCCAATTGCTTCAACAAATTTCATGCACTCTTCGGTGGTACCATATGTGTCAAACATATCATCAATTATTGTAATAAAAGATGTGATCTTTGTTTGTATAATTCGGGAACGAGAGTATGGAGGATGATAGCATGCCCCATTCATCCAGAAATATGTCTCCACTATTCTATCTCTAACAAAAGTCATCTTTGATTTGGCTAGGAACTCCTTCCACCACCTACCATGCATGTTAAGATAAGTCAAGTAAATCCTAGGACTGAAACTGCACGTCGAGTCGAAGTAAGATGAAAATAATCTTACACTGTGCAATGCTTTAACTCTTCACAGAAAACAAGCTGTTGAAGGTTAAAATTCAGTTCTGCAAGCTCCAATATGGCTTCATTCATTGTAGCGTCTTTTTCATAAATGGGTATGTAATTTCTTGCTTCTAATATTCCAACCCTTCTAAAAAGTGGGGTATGAAGTGAAGCGGACACCTCCTTTGCAAATGGCGATTCTGGAAGTTCAAGGATATCTTGAAGGCAACGTCTTGTGAAAGAAATTGCTTCATCCAGTACCTTCTCTCCATGTCTCCTCAAATATGCTGCATTATACAAGCTTAACAAGCTTCTCGTGTCAGCATAAGCAAAGCCCCCTTCTTCTGTTTTAAAGTGTAGAAATACATCTACAAAATTGCCTCAAAGTGAATAATAGTCATGTCCTATTGTTCACAGTTAAAACATTTGATGTGACATTAATTGGTCCTGACTCCATTGATGATGGGGGATTACCATGGAACTCTAGAAGAAAAAAACACAGTTTTGAGTGCAAGATCATATCTTACCTGATGACACATCGTAACCATTCTTTCGAAGAAGATAAAACCGCAGGGAAACTAAGTTTAGATCTTTATCATTGTAATCGGAGTTGTAAATACCATGCAGCAACTTGTCTATCTCACTCTCGTAGTAGTAATCCAGTCCAAGTCGTTGCAGTGTGAGTATAAGATTCAGTGTTTCTGGTAATTCAGTTGAGCCCATCAAAATCTTCCTAACATCTTCTCTTAATACCTCAGCTCGTTCTTCCATGTATGCTTGCTGCGTGGAGGACAAGTATAGGTCAATTTCACCAACCTACATCTATATATATGTATGTCAAAAAAGTTTATCCCCTGATGATGATCTTCAGCGAGATGCAGTTGTTAATTACCTGAGTTGCAGTTGGCGGCTGGCAAGTGAGGAAGAAATCGCCCCATAGGCTTGAGTGGAAGGTAGTAGCCTTTCGCAGCTCCTCTGCCTCGCTGGAATGTTGTGCTGGAGGAGGCGCCATGCTCTCAAACAATGTGATCTACAGCCTAGCCAGTTAAGATTTCTGAGAGATTTGTTGATGCCTATATGTGTGGCATTACAGGGCTATTTATACGCGATGCAGGCATGCGTCGACAAGAAGTTACTACACCAGCCAGGAAGCAAATTTAGTTCAACCAATTTGTGCAATGCTGACTTTGTGACGATGAAAGCGGGTTCTCATATCTTTCTTTCTTTTTTGAGAGGAGGAAAGCAGGTTTTCTGCTTCTGCATACACACGTGGCACTGTTTTCAGACTCTGTGCTTTGTACTCCGTACGTACAAGCAGGTTTGATCCCATCTAACTGACAAATGAAGCAGAAAACAAATGAACCAGCCGGCTACGTGCACGGCAGACAGGAGACAGGACTCATACTTTATGCATGCGAAGCTACTTGCAATGAAGAAAATTGAAGTTAACGCAACTGGCCAATAATATAAAAAAACACCTTGATCCACGAAAAAAGGATATTTTGTCGTCTCTAGGAAGAAGAATAGATGTGTATAGTACCAGTTGCACAAATGACAGATCTGTGAAGGAAAGAGACAAAATGTTGGATTTCTTTAATCAATTTTTGAAATGATTTAGTATTCAAACTGTCTTTTAGGGAAACAATGTTAATTTCGATTGCCCGATTCAATTTTTGACTTGGTTCTACCCAGAGACGACCAATAATGTGCCTGAAGCCAGGAGCAATCCAGGCTTATCCTTGGATCTTGATCTAGATTGAGAGTTTGAGACCGACATCGTTGCTGTGTTCTCAAATGTTTTGGCATTCCGTTCTTTCCATAGTTGCCAAGCTACCAGAGCCACCGTGAACCCTTTGCATTTGGTTTTGGGCAATTGCAGTGAAAGACCGAAAACAGTGACCAGAGAGGGTTGGTGAATGGGAGCCTCAAATTTCTTCCGAAACTTTTAACCATTGTTCCAAAATCACCGTCAAACACAAGACGCAACAATCGTGATGTCCACAAGCCAAACAAGTGGCTGGATGTTGCCTAGAAACACAGCGGGACACGACAACGAAAGCAGAACAAGAAACAGAACTCAAACGCACAGGACACAGACGGACCAGAACTACACAGGGTCGGACCCAAAATTGCAGGTGACTGATCGGAATTTCCAAGGTCCGACAGAACCAGAGAACCCAAATTTACTGAGAAAATGTGTCACGAGCAGCAACAAAAAAAACTTAACAGCAACACCAAAAATCACTCGTACAAGATTAAGACTAGCTAAATGAGCAGGCAATAATTAGGCTCATGTAACTTGAAAGTGACAACTCAAGATTTGGAAAATCAAATCACGTTGCTGCAAGCATATGCCGAACAAGGAGCAGCTGCCTGCTGTGCACCACGGTCAAAGAAACAAGCAGGTTTCTGTTTCTGCTGGATGAAAAGATTGGACAGCTATCTGCAGCAGCTGTAATCCGTTCACCGCTTAGCATCAAACACGACAAGAACAACTTGAAGACCGAGAGATCCACTCGTTCTGCAAGACAGAGGGGAGGAAGAGAGCACCGATGCGCAGAGAAAGGGACACCGGACACGGCCGGTCCAGCAACCGGTGCAAGAGACCGGTGAACACCGGTGACCACGGTGTGCCCGAACAGAGAACCAGCCACGGAAACACAGAACGAACGCACACCGGTCCTCACCAGTGTTAGACCCGGTGCACCAGGAATGCAACCGGTGCTCCACGACAGAGCACGAACAGCAGGGCAACTCAAATGAAATTCAAACGAATCTCTACCAAATCAAATCCAACTACCACCAAACTTTACCCAGGTGATCATAAGGTAGCTGGAGGGCTATATTGAAAGATCATCGCCCAAAAATTGGTAGAACAACGGGAATTTCAGATCACGTCCAAGAACCAAAGTTTTTCACCCCAAAACGAAATCCTCCTTGATCTATGAGCTCGTGTGGATTTAATCAAATTCACTTGGTGAACAGCATCAACACACATCCTTGCTCATATCTAATCAGTTGGATTCGCCCCAAATAACTCAAATCGACGAAATCGAGCAAAATGAGGGAAGAAGACCAGAAAGGAAGAACACCCAAACGCTAAAAGCAAAATCACGAACACATGATTTGAATCCCGGAGGATAACGAGAGGTAAAGGCCTCTCTTCCCACTTAGAAGGATGCGATTACACAAACAGTGGAGTCAATTCATCTGTGGACCTCTACAACAGCTAGGGGAGGGAAAAATCTAAAGAATAAAATCAAACCAGAGAGGTGAGGACTGATTAGGGTAGCCGTCTCTTAGTTATGGAGCCTATCACACATTCCCAAAGTGCTCCTAGATATTTGGAGCGAACCACCTTACCGAAGGGGTATTCCAGTCCAACTCGACACGTGTCACTGTCATCCTCGACTGCCCGGGTGTCAAGTCTTCAAAGCCTCCGCTTGACTTGCATGACCGCCGTCTTGACTTGGTCAACACGGTCACTCCCATATACTCTTGTACTTGTCGATGACCCTAGGTGTCAGCCACCCACGGTCAATCATCCGACTTCTCCGGTCCCTCTGTCCAAGCCACCGGCATCCGTCCTTCACCGCTCATAGTCCATCATCATGGATCCGCTTGACCTTCACCTTCGCCGTCGACCACCGTCTCCGAGCTCCACACCTGCGCACCAGAAGCCAAGAGCCATGTTGCACAACCCAACTCACGCCATGCTTATTTCAACAACTCAACCTAAGACGCGAATCACGTTGACAATCACTCATCACAACCGAACCACAACGGCACATATTAACCTTGTGTTCACAATCTCCCCTTTATGAGTGCATTGTCAACACCAACACACAAATAGCTGAGCAAAAGAAACAGAAGAAGAGAAAACAGAGAACTCACCCAAATGACCAAAACCCAAGAAAAGCCAAAATAGGGTCATTTGAAATGACCAAAACTTGATCCCCAAAGACATGGGCAACGGCTCAAGGAAAACAAGTATATCACAGCTAGTCCTCAAGAAGACACAAAAATTGCTCAACACCACTAGCAAAGCTAGAAACAGAATACACCATGGGGCTCAAAGGAAGCAACAAATGCAGAATGAACAAAGCGTGAGATTTGATAAGACCTAGACCGTGTGACTCGCTGGTCAATGTCGCCTATCATTGTCTGAGGTGGTTGATGACGCTGAATGTGTTATGGTGTCTCCCTTGCCGAAGTCACCTCCCCCTCAACAGCAGCTGGTGCTTCATCAGGTGCAGCCGGCATAGGCTAAGGAAGCTGCTTTTATGGTTCCCAAGTAGTGGAAGTAGAGGGATCAGGACCGCGAGCCGAAGTGGTCCAAGCAAGCTTCAGAGGGGCAGTTGGTGGAGACGGCTGGGATCACTCCAATCGGCATCTTCTTGCTCCTCCTCCACAAAGATGCTTTCTCCAAGCTCCTACTCTCATGCACACTCGAAAAACAGTGTTTGCACTAGGCATGGTTTCATCAAATGTGACCTCGCAGGTCTCCACGATGCAGTTAGTCTCCAGATTAAGTATGCGATAAGCTCTAGAATGAGAAGCATAATGTAACACCCTCGGTGTTACCGCTTAAACAACTTGCTAAACTATGTCATGAGCATCATGTTTTTGTGATAATGCATGTGAGAAGGTGTAAAAATAAATTTCTTGGCATGAAAAATGATTAACACAAATTATACATAAAAATGATTCAATAGTCATGTTATATCACTTAAGGTTGAACACCGATTTTTATTAAGCAAAAATACTATAAAACATGTGTGTGATACTTAAATAAGGTTTGAAGTACAAACTTTGTAGATGACGATAAAATATATGCTTTTGAAAAATAATATTGCTTTGTAATATTTTCAATAGCCTAGAAATCGTAAATTGAGATCAAGTTTAGTTCAAAACTTAGAAAATTTCCAAGTCTATCAACAACTAGACGCTGCTATGTTTAGCAATTTATTTAGAGAGATTGGGTTAAGGAGTGGTGTAGGGATATGATCTGATTTAGTAGTTCCATATGACATCTTGAGCGTAGTGAAGCCGGTTTAGGTTTAGGAGCAACGGTTTGGTCGTGATCAGCGCTTTAAAATTCGTGCGCGTACTTGTCTCAGGTTGGTTGGCGCCGTGTGTGCGGTCACCGTGCAGCCTGCCCACGCCCCGCACATGGTCGTGTCTCGCGCGGTCACCCTACGTCGCCACACTGGGTCGGTCGGGCCGCCAGGGCTTGTCGAGGCCAGCCGCAGCGAGCCGTTGGCCCTACGCCCTGCTGCCCTGCCTCGCACTGCCGCCATTGGTGCCGCCGCGACCGCGCTACCACTGCCGTCGTGTCCGCCCACTGCTGCCTCACGTCGCGACGCTGCCACTGCCATTGTGTCACTCCCGTACTCGCGTCTACTCGCTGCATCGCGCTGCCCCCTCCCTGGCCCAGTTGGGTGCCGTCCACACGTGGCCATGCACGCCGTCGTCACGCTATTATTGGCGCTGCGGCATGCGGGACATGGCCGGTCGTGGACGCTCGCGCTTGTCCCCTCATGCTTGGACGTAGGTCCCTCGGCCACAACCGCTCGCATCCCACCAAGGCGAGGATGAACCGAGCCCACCTGTCGTGCCCCGTTTCTCTCTTTCTCCTGCTTCTTTCCACCGCCGTCGAGTCGTGATCATGGTGAGCCAGAGAGCGAGCACCTCTCATCAATTCCTCTTGCCTGCGTCTTCGCCTTTATGTCCTCTTGCCTACCGCCCCCACCACACCTTGATTACGCCCAGGACAAGCTCCAATTTTGGAGCTTTGCTCCCGCCGCCGCGCCATTAAGGCCCAGCCCGCCTCATCGTGGCCAGCTCCAACCTCGCCATCTCGCGTCGAATTGACCGCACCACTAGCCCCGCCTAGAACCCCTCTTCATTGTGTGCATGCTAGTAGTAGCTCTAGTGCCGCCTCCTCGCCACTGATGTGGCTGCGCCTTTGTGGTCCGCCGGTCACCTCACAACGCGCACGTGGCTAGCCTC